TGTTGGCCTAGATCTAATTCTAGGCTATAACGGTGAACGCGCACCGGGTGAGAATAGCCAAAGGACTCGCCTGCACTATTCTCAAATAGAGGTGGCCTTATTATGTACATGGGGTAGGTGGTGGATAAACAATGACATAAATAATAGTGATAAAGAAATGGTCTTGTATTTCTATGCTTACCTAAAACCATACAATGTGCCTGCCCCGCCTGCTATCAAAAAAGGCCACCAAGACTGAAACATAGCGTCGGGATTTGGCATATTAGCAAAGAAATCATCCATTGCTTTGCTTCTGTGCGCCATTGTGAGACTTTTGTAAGATGAAAGAATTCCAGTTGAGTTTCTTCGTCCTTTTGGTATATTTATGTGATAACAGTGCAGCAAACAGGTCGGAGTGCTATAAAATAATAGCCTAGATCAGATAGGCGTAAACTAGCACTTAGCTCTGGCTCCCCACAAGGTAGGCCCGCAAGGATGTGAAGTGTGAAGTGTGAAGGATGACGAGTAATAAGACGCTCTCGGCTCACAGTTGAAACAGTCAAGATTACGACCCCGTCTGTTTAGAGGCATCGGACTTTTATTGGTCAAAATATTATGGTACAAAGATGTTCATTGAGAATCAAGCTGTCATTAGACCTCAATTTTTATGTAATAAAATTATTGAAACGTTTTGAATAGATCAAGTGGGCCACATTCATTCACGTTTGTATGTATTTTTTACACTATCCAGTCTCAAGAACATTTTTTCTCTTTCCCTGAAAGCGCTGATCCGAAAACACTACCTTATCTTTACCAAAAGCATGAAGGGATGCAAAACAACAACCGGCAAACTAAAGTGAAACGGCACAAAGGCACAAAGTTCTTCGATCCGCCGTGAGGAAGAACGGCGCGTCCGTGACAGTGTACGTAGAGAAGTCCGTCAACAAAGAGAAAGACAAACATGGGTCCTGATGGAATGCTCTTCATATTTGCGCTCTTGGATGAAGGCGCTCTACTCTTCTTGGCAGTATATTTTGTATCCTTGTAATTACTTTACCATGGCCATGACAAAAGTTGAGGCTGAGTTAACTGACAGTAATTAAACTGAGTAGATTCTAGATTCTAGGTGCTCTCGGAGTCTTCCACTTCTGACTGACGACAGGGTTTCTTCTTCAGATTCTGTAACAATTCTGGCCTAAATATCTAACTATGAATTCCATAACGAACGACCACTATGAAATATATAGAGGGTTTTGTTCGGGTTAGGGTCAGGGTTAAAGGTGAGAATAGTGCAGGCGAGTCTTGTGGCTATTCTGAGTATTCTCACCCGGTGCGCATTCACCAAATTTTGCGTTCACCCTAAACCA